TCTTCCTGTTCCTTTCTCTCCTGTCATTTTTGACTTGAAATTAATTAAATTAACATTGATATTTTGTGTTCTATGTTTGTTCTATTTTTTTCCAACTTGTGAGCTATGGGACACTCATGAATTTCCCTCAGGAGATGAATAAAGTATTTATATATCTATCTTGAAAGGCATTTTGAATCGCTCATTCATCAGAGAGGTGCACTGTGCTCACCACCAGATTTTGGCCGTAACAAGCTACATGACATGATCACATTATTACCCAGCAACAGTGTTGGGAGTAACACGTTACAAAAGTAACACAATTACAGTAATGTATTACTTTTTGCTGTATCACAGTAATATAACGCATTACTAATAAAATTTCAGTAATATTATACCCGTTACAAATCTCAGTAACGCGCGTTACAATGCATTTTAACCTGAGATGTGTTGTTTTTTAAGAATTCACCAACACCGCAAGAGACAGAGAAAAATACAGCGAATAAGAGTACTTCCTGTTCCTGTCACTAATACTGCCGTAAAATAACAAGAAGAAGAAGAAGAAGGAATTCGCTAAGATGACAGAGACAGATTCAACATCAAAGGACAAGAACATTATTGTCAAGTGCAATCTGTGTGCGAGTGCGACACCGAGGGAACTTTCTACATCCAAAAACAGCAACTTGAAGAAACACCTGGACCGGTGCCACGCTAACACCAAGTTGACAGAGAGAGATGCAGGCGGGAAGAAGAGAAAGAGAGCAGAGGACGAAAGTGCGGGAAAGAGTCAGACAAAGCAGCAGAAATTAAGTTTCTCTCGGTCTGCCGTGCTACTTGAACCAAGAGAAGTGAGGAGACAGGTGGCAGAGTATGTGGTGGAGGATATGCAGCCTCTGTCAACAGTGAATTCACCGGCTTTTAAAAACTTTGTCTGCAAAATCCCCACCAACGCCAGCAATGACAAGGTAAGCTAACGTTGTCATAGAGAGTGGTTCATATACAGTATAGTATAGATCACTGGGTCATGCAGCTATCTAGCGTGTTATTATTACAAACAGCAACCTAAACATAACGCTAATGTATATACCGGTAGGGCTTAAAGTATTCTGGCACCGTGCCGGCGTATGGCTGAGACTGAGGCTCATACAGATCAGATTCCTGCTCTTAAATGTGCGGTGGAGAAGTTTTTGGTTTAGAAGTGATTTTTGTAGAGACAGTCACAGTAGAAATGCCGCTAGCTGGCAGCTAAAAACACCGCACAGCTGACCGGAGATACATAATATGACAGAGAGCTGTACCTGTGTGAGCTGACCAATCATAGCAGACTGGGCTTCTCGGGAGGGGGGCCTTAAGGAGGACTGGAGATATTCAAAGTGTTTCGGGCAGAGGATGAATGTCTCAGCTGCTTTTTACTCAAACACATAAGTTGTAATTATAGTGTTGCAGTATTGTTCACAGTTGTGTTGAAAGCTATTGCACTGTTACTGTTTACGTAAAGTATTTTCACATATAGTATTTGAAAATAAACGGTGCAAAGCACATGCTGTTGTTGAAGAGAAGTGAATCTGTGCACTTCAGGCTCAGGATTTCTTTTTTTACTTGAACCCCTGTACCAGTATCCATATATAATTAACCCATTTAAACACAGCATGAGTTTAACATGGAGCTATCTTCAAATGTTCAGCATGTACTGCCAGACAGAAAAACATTTGCCAAAGATTTGGATAAGATGCTGTCATGGAAAAGGAGCTGAAGAAAACACTGGATGCCCAGCAGTATGTATCAACAACAGCAGACATATGGAGTGCCAACAACAAAAGTTTCATGGGGGTGACTGTGCACTGGATCGATGCAGATGCCTTGACACGAAAGAAGGCTGCGATAGCTTGTAAAAGATTTAGGGGTCGACACACATACGACGCAATTACAACAGAGCTAGAGGACATTTTTTCTCAATATGGACTGACCAACGATGAAGTGACCGCATGTGTGATGGACAATGGGAGTAACTTTGTGAAGGCGTTCAAGGAGCATCAGCAGCAGCAAGTGGAGTCCGAGGAGGAGGTGGAGGGTGATGGCGAGGTGGAGTTCACAGACCTTCACAGTGTGCTTACTGCCGATGATGATACTCAGCATGGGCTATGTGTACTGCCTCCCCACCATAGATGCGCAGCCCAAACACTTAATCTAATTGCGAACAATGAGGTTGTTAATTGGCTGGTATCTAATCCAGAATCTAGGGCTGTGTATCGTAGTGCTACAGCCAAATGTTCAGCGCTGTGGACAAAGGCCAGACGCTCCACAGTCGCATCAGAGTGCCTGGAAGAGGTCAGTGATAGGAAGTTGATTGTCCCCACAGTAACACGGTGGAACTCATTCTATAACGCCTATGCTCGGATCACAGAAATGCCCCTGACTGACATCAATAGCCTCTGCACACAGCTTCAGATTAAATGTATGAACGACAGGGAATACCAGTTTCTCAAGGAATGTTGTGCCATTATGAAGCCTTTCACAGTCGCACTGGACATCCTACAGGGTGAGGACACTTGTTTTTATGGAACGCTTCAACCAACGCTAGAAGTTCTGATGGCCAAAACCTTAGTAATGAAAAATGGCCTATCACAAATGACCACTGGGCTGCCTGAGGTTATTGTGGGAGCAATCAAAACTCGATTTGCCACCACAATTGATTCCAAGGATGCACTTCTGGCTGCTGTCTCCCTGCCAAAGTTCAAGCTGCGCTGGGTAAAAGAAGAAGCCAGAAGAGACCACATCAAGTTCCTCCTCACAACGGAGTGCCGCTCCCTAACAACAGAAGAGCCTACAGCCCTGATGCCCGATGCCCTCAACCTGCTGCTACCAGCGAGGATGACTTTTTTCCTTTGATGTACAGCCCAATGCCACGGCTGATGTGCCCATGTCAGTGGAAACAGAGGTAAGTAGGCTATGGAAAGGTCCAGGCCATAAGTGCCTTTATAGTTCAGTTAATTTTACCAGCCTTCTTTGGCTGTATGCTACCTCTGTTGTATAGGCTATTTGGCTGTAACAGGTTTCCTGTTTAGCCTTCATTTTTTATTTTCAATTTTCTTATGTGTGTTTGATTTATTTTTAGTATTCTTGAAAAATGTGATCATCAGCTAGAGTTCTAGCTATAAGTTATTTTAATTTTACCAGCCTTTGTTTGGTAGCCTATGTATTAGCCATTTCTTGGCAAATTGGCCTTTGTTTTATTGATAAGCAGTTGATAAGCAACTCAAAAGTAGTGTAACACATTACAATTCAGAGACAGAAATATTGTAATGTAACTCATTACTTTTAAATGACAGTAACTACTAATATATAATGTGTTACATTTTGGAAGTAACTTGCCTAACACTGCCCAGCAATCATCACAGCATATTTGGATATGATGAAAATATCAAATGAAATATTAAATTATTAATTTGATGGAATTGTTTTATATAGTCTGTTTATAGTTTATGTAGAATAAGAACATCATTTTGTTCTAGACTGTGACTGACTATAACACTCAAAAGAAAACCATGATGGAGATCGGTCTGCCTCTTCAAGTCACTATATAGTGAATGGCACCATTGAATTGTTAACATGTGCTTCTCTGGACTCAAATGTATCTCTGACAAAACGGTTTAATTAACATTCATGAAGTCAGAATCTAGAGGGGGTCCACTCCTCCTCTTCCTCCTCCAGGTTCTTCAAACTGGTTTGTGTATGTTTAGTGTTTTCCTCACACCAACAGCTCTCTGCACTCATTCTTATGATGCATTCATCACTGATCTACCTGACAGTGTTTTTTAACTTTACAGTTTTGTTAAATGTATCACTCTCTTCATGTCCCCTATTTTTTTTTAAAGCAGGATCTGCCGTCATTTCCTGTTGTGTGTTTTTACTCCACTAGATGTCACAGTGGTTGAAGCAGCCGTGAGGTGAGCGCGTCACCATGATATTCCTGCACTTACTCTGACTAACCAAAGGGTGGTGCTCTTTCTCCTTAATGAGTCCTGTCAGCATCAGCAGCAAACACAGACATCTTCCATCTGATCAAGAATTCGTTTTCAATTTGAGTTTCTCTGAAGTCTGCATTCTGTCAAATAAAAAAATGAAGTTTATTTGTGACTTTAGGTTATCAGGACTTATAAAACAATAGATGATCAAACACAGCAGACGAGCTCTGTGGGTTTCCTCTTTGCAGCCTCCTCCTCACCATTATCTGAGGTTTTTCACATTAATAACACAACGACAGTTACAACCTTTGAATGTGGTTTAATAATTGTTCCAGGAACTTTAGTTTGTGCTGAAAACTTTCTCATGTCTAATTGTTGGTATTAATCTGTGAGAGAAAAACAGTTTTATAATGAACTCGGAAACTGAGACACTGATAATGTGAAACTTCTCTAATAATCTCTGATACTTTTCAAAAATAAGATCACATTTAATCTTTAATGGAGTGAGCTGTTGGTGTAAAAATAAACAGAAGAGAAGGAGGTAGGAGGAGGGGAAAAAAAGAGAAGAATGACATTAAAAACAAGAAATCTTAACAATAATAATAAAAAAATGTATATCCACTTTAAAATATTTAGCTGATCATTACTGAAACCTGATGTAAGTCAGGAATTCTAATTTCCAAGATGTTTAAAAGAAACGATCACAGCAGACAGTATTGTCCCGTTTACATGGGTCTTCATTTTGATTTCTTTATACGACTACAAAAAAAGTAAAAGGAGCCGTTCATTTAAAAGGAAAAACCCAAAATGTTTTTGTTTTTTTAAAGTACATTTTCTAGAAACACAACTGGTTTATTGTGTGAGATTATAAAGGCACTAATGTCCACCATAAGAAAAGCATACGATGCTACTGTTTGGATCAGGCCTGCAGTCACTGACCTCTATTATCACATTTAAAATCTAAAGAGATATTCTGAGTTTTATGTTACTGTATCCTGTCTGTTGATACTTAGCTCCGCCTCCTCCCTCCTTCAAAACCTCAGACTCTGCAGAAAACCACACAGCAGCTCCAGCCCAGCTGTCAATCATCAGTCAGCAGCAGGGGCTGATGGGAGTTCTGAGGACCTGTTAGAAACCGCCCGGCTCAGTCTGACCCCGCAGCTCGTCCTGGTTTGGCCTCACTTCTCGTCAGGTTCACCAGAGGAAAACAACAAAATGTTTTTCCTCCCTGCTGTGGCTCTGTGCTGTGTGAGCTCAGGTGAGTGCTTCCAGCCAATCAGGAGCCAACAAACTCAACCTGTAATAAACCAGCCCTGTCTCTGTGTAATGACTTTAACTAAACTGTGGGATTATCCTGATCTGGTTTTAACATTACCTCATCGAGGAGGTGAAAAAAGTGTTATTAATTGGAGACAGAGCTGAAAAAAAGAACTGTCTCACTAACCTCCATCTGTCTGTTTCTCTATAGCGCTGGCTGCCATGACAACAGAGCTCAAACAGGACAGTTTGTCACTGACCAGGAGAGTTGGAGAAAGTGTCTCCTTCAGCTGTGAACGTTTAGACCTGTGTTCTTCAAGTTATGATTATGTGCACTGGTACCAGAAAAAAGACAACGAAACATTCACAAGGATTCTGAGGATTAATAAGAGTAATGGTAAAGTGAACAAAGCTCTTTACAATCATCCTCAGAAAGATGATTTCTCAGCTGTGATCAAACAGAACGGCGTTGAGCTGCAGATCCAGAAGGTTAATTCCTCTCATTCAGCCACATACTACTGCTCCTGTTGGTTAACACCCACAGTGAGAAATGATCCGAGCAGGCTGAACAAAAACCAACAGATGAGCAGAAGTCAGATAATGTTTGTGACAGGAAGACAGCAGTAAACCACAGCTCACTGAGTCATTCACCTCCATCACACACAGGATGAACTGAGGGATTATTTTACTGGTGTCTGGATTGATTCTTCATTTTATTTCTTTGTTTTTCTCAATCAGATATTTCAGTAAGGTCATGGTTAGTCCACACTGTGAGGACAAAGAGAGAAGAGCAGAAACACATTGACAAAATAAATAAATACAATAAAATGAAGTCATCACTTTTTTAACATATTTTAGACACATTTCAAAATAACATGTCTTCCTCTGGCTCCAAGGCCAGGAGCAATACAGGATGGATACAATGCATGATGGGTAAGGGGAATGTAAAAAGGCTGTGAGCCAGGTCCAGCCCTCAGCAGGTATTTTGCTTCTTTTCAGCATTATTTTCTGTTGGCATAAACCTTTGGCCATCTCAAAATGATAATGACCACATCCAACTCGGGGACTTTAGTCTACATGATGTCACTGCACATATAAAGATACTATCAATCCATAAATAGTGATAGAGGTATGACATTTGACAGGGAGTAACCTGAAACATATGACTAATTACAAATATAAGATTGAGGGGCTTGCTGCCATTGTGTTTTGAAATGTTTACCACAACATCTTACAAGACACAAAGAAAAACACTGTCCAATTCTCTTCAAACATGCCTACCCTTTTCTTAACTTAAGTTAAGGGTACCGTATTCTCTCAATCAATCAATTAACCTTTATTTGTAAAGCACCAATTCATGTTAACACGTTATCTCGAGACACTTTACAAGAGAGCAGGTAAAAGACCTTACTCATTGTTATGTTACAAAAACCCAGCATTGATCCATCATGAACACAGAACTTAGCAACATTTAGCAAAGTTACAGTGACAAGAAAAAACTTCTCTGTTTGAATACCTACCTTTTATTTTGAAAGAAAATAACGAGCTTCCTGTGGATCAAGGTTACAAAATGAACTTAACAGCTGAACTGTGAAAAAGGGAAATGTTTGAAGTCACATGGTGGATATTACTTGTGCCTCATCAACTGAGCCGTGTAGTTCTTTAACACTAGGATCGCCAACATTCTAGACTCCCCTCCAAGCGCTGCATAGGCAAATCTAATTGTTTGTGCTCAGAAGCGCACAAATAATGCATTTGTTTGATGAAGACTATCAGCATAAGGCAGGATTGGAAACCTTTTAAATGTCTCGTCAATTTACAATATCTGTCAGCTTTTTTAGTGTGCCGATTTTTACTGCTGCTCCACGTCTCCCGTTGCTACAATAATGAAACATACATAACTTTTAGTCTATTATAATGTTGGCTATATTAGGCTATGTCATTTAATAAAAACACTGCAAAAAATGTGCATTTTTATTGATGCTCTTCCTCCTCTCTGCAACTGGGTTTGTTTCCCCGACATAGAAGAAATGATTGAACAACACACACACACACGCATGCCAAAAACTTTGTAGATTGTAGATGTTTTAGCTAACTCGTATTGCCCTTTTTGATCGCTTTGTTGCTGATGACTTATGACAGATTCTGATGGATGGTTGTTTTTGTGATTCATTTATTTATGTTCATTGTTGTTAAGTGTTTTCTGTCTGAAACCCTGTAGATGTGCTGCTGCCTGTCTTGACCAGGACGCTCCTGTAAAAGATATTTTTAATCTCAATGAGACTTTTTCCTGGTTAAAAAAAGGTTAAATGAAAAAAAATAAATAAAATAAAATCTGAGCTGAAAAATCATTCAAACCAGTCCATTCATCCATCCTTCAGCTCCAGTTCAAACATTGTGGACTTAACAAATGAAACAACAGACATCACCGTTAAAGGAGAAACATTCTGAGAGGAAGAAAAAGAGGAAGAGACGCTGAAGTAGAAATGTGTTTGAGGTTTGATCCTGGTTCATGATTTGTGTAGTTCACCAGCAGACAGGTTTTTGTATCACGTCTTTTCACTGTGGAGGATTTGATCTTTGGCTCTGGAACTAGACTCTTTGTTTCAGATAAGAATAAACCTTGATTTCCTTCAGTCGTCTGAAATGTGACTTTAATTACTTTCTGCTGTTTGAGTCATTAAATATTAAAGTTTTATAATAAGAGGAGATTTTTTTTAAGGCGTGCAGCTATTGAGACATGAAAAGATGTTACCTCTAAGATGTTCAAATCTCAACACATAAATAAAGTTAAATAAGGTTAAAGGTATTCTGTTATTCTGTTTCATATGTCGTAAAGAACATTTTAATGATCCTGAAATAAAAACCTGTAAAATAAAGCTCACAATAATTATATTTGATTTGATGGTGTCTTCAAACAGATATTTAAATGATATTTTAAATGTAATCAGGGTTCAAGGCCATATTAAATGTAAACTTTAAAGAGTTGGAGGCTCAATAAGAGGTTCATTAAAAATAACTAACAAGGTTTAAGGACAAGAAGTGCGACTGACGAGGCGACTCCAAAGAGTTTCTGATCTTTAACGACTTAGAAAGCCACATTAGAAGAAAAAGACTTTGTTTGAATGAAACGCTTTAAAAAGGATCAAATAGTCAAACCAATGATTGTTGGGCTCAAACTTGAACATGTTGTTAGTGCTCTGTTTTGAACTGTGTGAATCAACTCATCAATCTTTCTTTGTATGGCTCTGATTTCTAACAAATGTTATCTGAAGACACTTCAGATAACATGCTGTCGAGCGTGTACCCGACAGCATCCAGAGGCCGGCTGGAGGAGAAGAGCTCCCTGCTGTGTTTGGCCTCTGCCATGTTTCCTCCTGTGGTCAGAATCTCCTGGAGACGACAAACGGAGAGCGGATGTTTAGAGGAGCTGCCCTCTGCTGACGGACAGCAGCTGGAGCTCAGAGAGTCTGGATGTACTGCCTCCGTCTTACAGATCTATCAGACAAAGTTCAGCTATCAGTAACATAAGTTTTCTGATGATTTGTCATCATCTCTTAACCGCTTGATGTACCTTGGTGAGAAATCAGACAATGCAATCAGAAAAGCTGACACAGAAAACACATACTTTGCAAAAGAAAACTGATTCTAAAAGGGCATGGCTACAGAAATATACAAAATATTATGTTCCTACCTCTCAGTTTCCTCTCTAATCTCATGTGTTGAACTGGGGGTGTAGTCTGGGAAAGGGCAGATGTTTCGAGCGACAGACGCAAGTGGGTATATGTCGTTAACAGGGCAAAGTAAGTTTCCCATCTTTGCACTAATTTGCTGGTTAAAGATTTTCTCTTTAGGAGTTGTTTTGAAAAAGTTGTAACCACACACAACACTGCTTGCTCTTCGTGTGTGTTTGAAAGTCTGCTCATGGACACAGCTAATAAAGTACTGTAGGATCCTGACGTCAAATCTGTTGTTAATTACTTACAAGCTTCCCCCTTATATGTGACTCCGGCCAATTGGCTCTTTTACTGATGTTGAATCTGATGGTAATCTTGCCGAAGTAAACACATTTTGACTTTAGGCAGCGTTTGTTATACTGCTTTAGATTTAATTTTTTTTCATAACTCCTGAAGCATTAACTTACAATCACTGCAGAATAGATTCAACTAGATTTAGTTCCTATCTTACACGAATGTGTCATGGTTTTTTCATCTTTCCACAGCTATTGATATGCAGAAAGCTGCGATGCATAACCTTGCTGTCAGTAATGCTTACACAACGGTGATAGAGGCTTTTGATCCAGTACATTTCAGTGAGATTAACGTGAGTTGTCTCTATGACAACAGTCTGTTGAAAATGGCCGCTGTTTGACCGACACTGCCTCGTTGCTTATTGCTGCATGTTTCATATTTCATATTGTTTTTTTCTCATTCAGACACGGAGCAAAGAGGATGTGGGTACAACATACGATCCGTAGGAGGAGAATATCTTACATTTTGATAGAAAGAGAGCCGGTGACATCAACAGCCCCTATCTGAAAAAGTTGAAAGATATTCATCTCGAAGTGCTCAGAGCGGTATAGTCAGTTCAGGATGAATACAGGTAATAACATGAGCCTCTTATAAAACTTACTACAGCAATGATTTTGGCCAGGTTCTAGGCATCATGCCATGTCCAGACTGTGATGGATTCTGAGGTAGTGTACCTGCCTTTGTTTGATTCTTACTCATCATCCGCTGAAACAAGTAATACAAATACATAAAAACACAGTTAACTCCCTAGATACAATCAGACTGCCATTGCCTAATCTCTTCAATACTTATAATACATAGCACACCAAAGTACAACTTACGCACCTATGCCTAATACGTCTTTCCCTTGAAGGGCGACTGAGGGCCAGCCCTCCTCTCTTCCTTCACTTTGCCAGCTCAGTAAGGTCCTGAATGGACAAGAAGGTGTTCTTTAATTTGAGGAGGCCAAACTATGCGTGGTTGTTGCCAGACAACAAAATGTTCTTGGACAAGACAAAATCTCCACCTTGTATCCAAAAATTCATTATAGGCTGGGAATTCCACTTCCACACCCTGTGTGTATCGACATACTGAGATAAGTTGGATGATGGGAATATTATAAGGGTCAATAGATGAAGGGGATGTAGAGATGAGCATGAGGATGAGGTATGAATGGATGAGTGTAAGGGTCGAGGGATGAGGGTTGAGGTATGAATGGATGAGTGTAAGGGTCGAGGGATGAGGGTTGAGGTATGAATGGATGGGGGTAAGTGTTGTAAGATGTGGGTTGAGTGTAAGGGTCGAGGGATGAAGGTTGAGGTATGAATGGATGAGTGTAAGGGTCGAGGGATGAGGGTTGAGGTATGAATGGATGAGTGTAAGGGTCGAGGGATGAGGGTTGAGGTATGAATGGATAGGGGTAAGTGTTGGAAGATGTGGGTTGAGAGTAAGGGTCAAGGGATGTGAGATGAAGGGAGGGGGGTGAAGGTTGAGAGTTTGCAGGATGCTGACATGTGATGAAAACATTGTGCTGATGTTGTAGTCAGAGACCAAGACGTTCCCCAGAAAGGAATGCTCAGAGACCGAATCAAGACCGAGGCAGAGCGAGGCCGAGATAAGAACAAGACCATAAATATCTCTGAAAAATCATCATCTTGTGTGCAGCAGGCGTGTCACTCACTTAGACCATTTGCGGACATAACCTAGGGATTAAAATCAAGTTATGAATCAATTGGGCCGGTGTTGAGACAAGACCAATTTCAAGAACTAGAACACTTTGTTGTGCAGTCCTGCACAAAGAGGGACACCTGGTCACCCAAAGAAAACTAGTATCCATCATTACAAAGACCAAATACTTTTTGAAATAAGACACTTTGAAATGTATCAACCAGACGGAACAAACTTTGTCTTTAGTGAGAGCAAAACACAAACAAGCTCAGCGCGTTAGTGAAGTGTCAGTTTTACACCTGCAGATACACCATGTCATCTTTCTACAGAAGCTAGTTTCCATTGTGCGGGATTTGACACTAACACATATGCATACAAGTTACTTTAAAAATAACAATGGGCTTGGGCGGTTGGCCTGGGTCTCATTTTTGATAGCTGTCGTTCTCATGTATCTAATTTAAGAACCTGGTCTCAGGTTCTTAAATTAAACAGTTGGAGGAGTTGAAATGTGTGAACTCTTGGAGTTATTATTATGTGTAGTCACCTTACTTTCACTGTGTTTTTTAAACAGATGTCTTTAATGGGATTCAAACAGAAGGTCAGTCTGTGATCTCTCATCGTTCATGTCTAACTGTGCTGTGATCGCTGCACTACTGAAGAATTTAAACATTTATATAGAGCTTATGTTTGAGTTTGATAAAACATATTCATGGTTTATATTTTCAGCTCGTCTTCCACCTAAACTTACAGTGAATTCAGCAGTGATCAAAGAGACAGACTCAGTCACACTGAACTGTCAGACTCCATCATCAGTGTCTCAGTGTTATTACCAAACTTTAAGTGGAGAAACTGTGAGGACATTTTCCTGTCTGCAGACACTGACAGGAAGTGAACTGCTGAAGATGGATCATCAGAGTTCACCTGCTGAGGTCAAAGTGAAATGTTTTTACACTGTTCAGATTGGAGACAGAAATGCTCGATCTCCAGAAAGTGAATATTCCTCCATCTCTGTTCAAAGTAAGTAAATCTGTCTTCAAGCTGGATCAGCAGAAGAAAAACCCTGTGGTGTAAATGTCATGAACAAAACATTTGATTTTATTTTTAGGTGAGACAAACCCGAACAAGGAGAGTCTCAGCACTTTGACAACCTCAGTTTCTATTGTAACTTCACCTGCTGATCAAGGTGAGTATAGCCTACTGCATATTTTAGTGTTGCTTACTCTTTTACCGTCATTTACTAACTAGCACTGTCACATAAAACTAGAGTCCCACATTTTACTTAAACATCAGACTGCTGTTAAAACATAATTTTTTCAGACATTCAAGTCCAACAGACTCCTGATTTATCCTTTAAACAAGTCCCACACAGCAGGAGTTTGCCTGGACAAACTTAGTGGTATGATGGTCAAAGTCATACATTGGTCAAAGATATTTGGTTGAAATGAGCCAATTAACTGATCAACTACAGTGGTAATGGTATCTGTTACAATAAAATCATATTTCAGTTTTGTCAGGATTAGGATTAAGAAAATTAAGATAAATCCACTTTTGGATAGTGACAAAGCAGTTATTAACAGTTATGAGAGGACAGTTGATTCCTTATTATTGGGTTTTATCATCAAAGTTTTTTAGTCCCCTCCATCAACAAAAACAGAAGAGGTTTTTTTTCGGGTTTTGCTAAAATATCTTAATATTTATAGTATCGTTGGCATAATGGTGAAATCATAATGAAATCGTCTTTCCCAGAGGACACGAGTATAGAGATACAGAGTCATTGGCCTAAAGATGGATTTTGTGAAAAATCTGCATGGGTTAAACTTCAATAAGGCAGTCAAGTATTACTTTGAGGAGTTCACAATCCATCCTGGTGACGGGGGACAGAGCTTCTGCAAAAAAGCAGTGGAGGGAAGCCATCTGTATGCAGCTAGCTATAGTCAAGGTTCAAGGTTCAAGTTTCAAGGTTCAAGGTTTCTTTATTTGTACCTTCATAGATTAATTTGTTGTGCAAGACAGGAGATTCAGCACTCCATTAGATACACACAACACATAACAAATTCAAGGTTAAAAAGACCAGACAGAATACATTAGAACAAACATTTTCAAAGAGCAAAGTCCTTACACAGACAACAAATCAAAAGTGTAAGATCGGACATGTAACTGCAGGAGCTGGGGATCGAACCTCCAACCTTCCGGTTGAGAGACGATGGACTCTATCAACTGAACACCAACCTGACAGATAGAGTGAAGAAGCCACTTGTCTTGGATAATAGAGCTTGCCTTAAACTGCAGCTGTTAAGAATACAATTCTGACAGGTTTGATTGAGACTCATCTTTAAACACAAGAGTGTTTTTGTTTTAAAAGTCAGAATTGATTGAGTGACCCTTTATACTAATTAATCAGAAAAAAATCTGAGAATAAAAATCTCTTTTTTTAAGAGTGTCCTGGCCAAGACAGGCAGCAGCACAATTTTCAGAGTTTCTGACAAACAACGTGCTGCCTTAAATACTAATATAATACATAACTATTAAAAACCAAAATATACAAAATAACAAATTTAATCCTCAAATAGTTGTCAATATCGCCCACAAACATGCATATATCAGAAGGGAACATCTACAGCCAGATGTGTCCTCTTCCAAGTCATTTAACATCCTCTTAAAACATGACAGCAGCTAGTTAGGTTTCAGGTATTTTTGTAGTTTGAAGTTTTTTTATTTCATTATTTTGTCACATACATTCATATGCCTAGCCCGCATGGGCTTACGTGACACCATAAATTAAAACGTTCCAGGATCAGAGTGCATTAGGTAAACTATGTTCATTGGCAAGAAACAAAAAGAGAAAGCA